TAACATTTTAGTAAATAAAAATTGAGGACCCCCAAGATACATCTCGCGGACCCCTGTGGGTCCAGGGACCCAAGTTTGAGAACCTCTGTCTGCATCATGAACTTGTATTTTCAGGACTGCCCCCTACTGGCTGAGCACCAACAGGACAGCCTGTTGATGATAAACTGCAGAAAACGCGTCTGATTTTTGATCCTCCAGGCTTGCCATACATCACGGCTGCAGAGGAAGCGGGGGTCGCGGAGCGGAGCGGCGGCCCGGGAGGATGGAGCTGTGCTCAGGCAGCCACACTGCTCCTCCCGACATCTGACGGTTCGACCGTCACCGTGGACGTTGTGCTCGCTCGACGTGCCGTCCTGCGGCCCGGACTCAGATATGACCCGGGTTCTGTACGCAAGCTAGCCGGCCGGGTGTTAGCTTAGCTAGCTCGTTTGTTGCACCGCTGCGGGCAGCGGGTGTTGGAGCTCAGCTGGTCCGCTGCAGCGTCACCATGGTGCGGCCGTAGATGTCAGACTGGCGACGGTGATCTCTGTCCAAACATCCAGGTACTGTRTCTGTACTGACTGCTGCATTATGGTACCTGGAGGACAATAGTGGGCTCGGTTCTGGTGTGGCCCAAGATGCTCGAACTGTGGCGTTTTATTTGTGAAATGTTTCTGTTTTGTGATAAAGCTATGGGATCAATCTTGTGCCAGCAGGAATTGAATTTGAATTTTTGAATTAGAGATTTAACGCATTGGTTTGAAAATGAATTTTACCGAATTTGAATTAATTTACKTTGAAACTGTATTTTGGTTTATTAAAAATTCATTTTGTCTACTTTCATTTTCAGTTCCATAATTCAGATTATTGTGCTGCACATCCGGGTCCTTGAGAAAGCCAGGCAGAGTAATCAAACACAGATCTACAGATTTATGTTTCACATCAGTGACGCTTCCTTCTACCAATTCATCAAACTTCAAAAAGCCAATTGACTAAACCAGATATTTGAATGGTGATAGTTGTGTTTCTTTGCTACACTTCTCACAGTGCGTTTTTACATAATAAAAGTGGGTTTTATAGATGTTTCACACTTTCCCTCAAATCTGTACAATAAATCAAGTGTGGTAAAATAATGGAATTACATAAAATAAGCAATGCGTGATCATTGAATATATCTTTAGCTTTATATAATAC